AAATTGGTAAAACTTAGGAGTTCTCAATAGCCTAAGTCAAAATCCTGCTCTTCAGTAAACATTTAGAATCAACCTAGTAAGAACAAGAGGATATCAAGAATATTGGCAAAGAAAAGACAGAATAAGGACCATCTTTTTTTATGGTACTCAAGTAGAGAGCTAAGGTACATTCTAATTTTAATATCATATTTTTTTTTCCTACTCATCTTGAACTAAGGTAGCCACAGAATTTATTTATTTTTAATCTCCAATGCTTTCCCATGGCCAAAGTTAAAATTTCCTTCCTATGCCATCAGGCCTTCACAACTGGTCCAAACTTGCCTAGCTAGCAACATCCCTTATCAGTTCCCCTCTTTTACCCATAGCAAACATTCAGACAGCAATTTCTGGAATTTGGTGTGTTATTCCAACACAACGTTTCTTTTCATACGTATGTCTTTGAACATATATTTCTCTCTAATTTGAACCTCATGAGTCCTATTAATCCTTTAGAATGTGTTACTGTCTCAGACATTAGGTCGTTCTTATTACATTTGGCACCTATTTATTATAGCACTTATCACATTGTAATCATCAGTTTTTTTCTTAGAATGAGAATTTCCAGAAAGTAGGTAGGGTAACTCATTCATATCTGTATATCCAAGGCCTAGCACAGTGCCTGGCATTCAGTAAACGTTATTTCAAAAACAAGTGAACTTTTGTGAAGGTTTTCCCTTGCAATATGCCCTCCACTACATAGATCTCCATCTCACCAGCAAGGCTGGATGGGTGGCGATGTCACAAAAACTTCAGTTTGGCAGAAATGACTACTTAAATCCATAGCTTATGAAAATATGCTACTGTGGCTAATATAGCTTAAACCTTAAAACAGTTTAATATCTTACCTTTCAATAAGGTAGTACTTTTTCTTTCAGCAATTTTGTGGATCTTAAGGTCCCAGGGTCTGGAGATTCCAACTTCTTTCCAAAACCAAAACCTTTATACTTGTTTCTTCCTCCTGTCTGTCCTGAGCCTTGACAAGCAGGGCAATAAGCTCCTTGTTTCTAATCTCTACAGGAATAACTGTAGTGCTTCTGCTGGTGTCCATTCCACTCCCAATCCTCGTGGGCATATGCAGGAGGACTGGAACATAACCACCAATATCTAGATCAAAAGTGAACAAGAGGAAACCCACAAGCAAAGAAAGCACTGAATCCTTCCTTCTCTTATAAAATGGATCATCCCCCCTCCCCAGAGGCAAAAATATATTATGTTCCTGCCCTTGAAGGAAATAAATTGTTTGATCTCAGTACATAAATTGCAATAATTTGATATTGCAGCTAGTTTTCACACTTAAAACTTTCTATTACACAGAGTACAAAAAACATTTTTGGGGTGGTAAAGGTCAGGAATCAATGATATATAAAAATGTATTACTGTATTCACTCAATATATATTAATCTTTTTTAAACACACACACACACACACACACACACACAAATGATCCTTCAAAAAAACAATCTCTGGTCTAAATTTGTTTCCAGGCCATTTTATCGTACAAAAGAGGAAGAAAATTAACTGCTACTATTTCATTTTTTTCTTGTTTCCTGCCCACTAGTCACTAGTGCAGCTTATCTTCTCTATCTTCTCTCATTCTGCACATAGACTCAACAACTTCCAAGATTTGGAATATTACCTACATACTAGTAACGCTTATATCTGTTTTTCTTGTCTCCTCCTATTCTCAACTATGTCCTGAACATTTTCCAAATGCAAAATATCTCAAACTAATGTGCCCCAAAACCAAATCTATTCCTCTGTGTTTCAGTTAATACTATCACCATCTACTTGGTCACCTGAGCTTTTAGAAACCTTAGTTGTTTTCATTTCAAAAATGATGAGGCAGGGCATTAGGCCTTGTATTGAGCACAAAAAGGAAATCAAAAAAACAAGACAAGGTCTTGGCCTCAAGAACGCTTCATCTAGAAAGAATCTAGCAAGTGAGAAAAGCACAATTCAGGCAGGGCACGGTCGGGCACGGCACTTTGGGAGGCCGAGGCAGGAGGATCACCTGAGGTCAGAAGCCTGACAAACACGGTGAAACACCGTCTCTACTACTCAAAATGCAAAGATTAGCTGGGCGTGGTGGATAATGCCTATAATCTCAGTTACTCAGGAGACTGATGCAGGAGAATCACTTGCACCCAGGAGGTGGAGGTTGCGGTGAGCCGAAATCATGACACTGAACTCCAGCCTGGGCGACAAGAGTGAAACTCCGTCTCAAAAAAAAAAAAAAAAAAGCACACAATTCAGTGTCCTAAGGGACAAGGGGCTGACTCTGGAAACAACAGCAATGGGATTCACAGCAGGAGGGAAATGAGAGCTGGATCTGGAAAAGCAAGTAGGGCTTAGTGAAACTTGTTTTAGGCAAAGGAAACAGCAAATGTTATAGGTACAAAAGTATCAAAGAATATCATGGATTCAGGGAAGCTTGAGCATTGGGGAAATTTAGGAAGAAAGGAGTAGTAAATATAGCTGGAAGGTAAGTTTGGATTAAGAACTGTTGAGGATCTTGTACACTGCGCCAAAGAGTCAGGATGTTATCATCTGCGCTATTCAAAAACAAAAATGTTTCCAAGTATAAGAACAATAGCGTTGTGTAGAATTATGTTTCTGAAAGACAATTCTGGTAGTATTGCAAAACGTGGAATGAGGGAGAAACAGACTTTAGCAGCTAAGAAAAAGAATTAATAGGACTTGATAAGTAAAGGGATATATAAGAATCAAAGAATGATACTGAAGTTTTTAATTAGAGTTACTATGTAGACCATGTTATTCATTAAGATAATGAATACAGGAAAAAAAACAAAGTTTGGAGAAGATGTAAGGGAAAACTGTGGAAGATTTTTGAACTAGGAAGAAAAAAATTACTAGATATCCTTTCAATTTCTGGAGCATTAAGGATTATCTATTCCTGCATGAGGAGTGCACCTTTGTTTGTCTTTGACTAACCTATTTAACTCTGTGGAGACAGAAGTAACATGTAGAAAACTGGAAATAATGCAAATGACTTCTATTCACAGAAAGACAAATTATGTCCTATGGAATGCAACAGATTATTGCTTGGTAGGTATTTTTCAGTTTTATAGGCATTTCAGCATTCCCTATCTGATTACAAATGTTGGTACTTTTTCAACTAGTTTTAGTATCTTCCTGATTTCCTCATGGGTTAATAAGTTAAATAATCTCTGACATATGTGCATTCTGTATTTGTGAGAGGCATAATTATATCTTCTTTTAAAGTTGATGCTTTCACAAAGATAACAAGATTGATTTCGGACATGTTTAATTGTGGGCACCTGTGCTACAGAGAGGCAGTTGAAAATATAAGCCTGGAGAACATGCAGATTTCAGAGTTGTCAGGTTAAAAGTAGTGGCTTAGGTCAAGGATACAGTGAGTTTCATCAGGAGAAGGTTAGAAAATGAAAAAGAAAAGAGTACACAAAGGAGAACTCAACAGAAAAGCAATGCCTAAGGGGAAGGTAGTGGAAACGACTGAAAAGAAATGGCAAAGACAGGACAAACAGATGAAGATTACATCAAGGAAGTCAGGGAAGAACACCTTCAAGAACTAAATGGTCAAAGATATCACATGACACCAAGATCCAGGAGGAAAAAGAAATGAAGAGCAGTCAATCTAATCAGATCTCGTGAGTAGAGTGTCACTGTTCACCTTAACAAGAACAGTTCCAACACATGTGCTGGTGCACATGCCAGTCTATGATAGCTTGAATGAAAGGGAGGTGAGAAAGTAAAGACAGTAAACAGCAAAGGAAAAATGTGAGTGTAGCTTTAAAAGAAGCAAAATGATGAGAAAGGAGTGGGAAATGAACCAACTAGGAGATTTTCAAGTTGTGAAAGAGGAATTACGGAATTCCAGAAGAAGACTGTAAGTAAAATGAGTTCAGTCAAGAATATCTTTTTTCGTCCTCCCCAAAGCATTCTCAAAATTGCTCCCAGTTTTCTTCCTAAAACAAACATAAGATTGTGTCATTTGTCCACTTTAAAACTTCTGGTAACTATTCAGTACATAAGTTCAAATTCCTGAACACAACTTTAAGGAGTTATTCATCATTTGATCCCAAACGATGTTCCAGTATCCTGCAACATTCTCCCTCTCATGTTACCTCACCAGCTCCCAACCTAGAAATAGCAGATCCCCTAGACTATGTTAAGGGTCTTTGCACTCTTGTGAATATCGCAAAATGTTCCATTTACCTACGATAAATCTGTACATGCTAAATTAAAATGTCTAGTGCTCAGTTTCTGGCTAGTATTACATCAAGTCAGTAGTTTTCAGGTTGATCAAGAACTCTGATTGGTTGTTGATTACATCATATGTCAGCCAGTCATGGCACCAGAATCAAACACAGCTGGTATGTAATCACCCTTGGCCATAAGTAGGGAATAACAGCTGAAATTAAGGAACCAGTAAAAAATAACATTTGTGGGTTCACAGCAGAAACAGTAAATGTGGTACATATGCTATCACATCCTTTTTCTGGGGCCATGGGAACTATTACTATTAAACATGTTACTCTTTCCCACTAAACCCAGAAAAGGTCTCAAAACTCTTAAAAGGTAAGAGTTTTGTTCCAGGTAATCATGACCAATCAGGGTTGGCATATGAAATGAAAACTATATGCCATCTGTGGTCTATAAATTCACTTAATTTGGCTGTTTATCAGCATCACAACTACAATAGAGATTTATATAATTTTAGAGTTTGGTGCATGTGCCAGTAATCCCAGCTCTTTGAGAGGTAGGAGGACTGCTTGAGCACAGGATTGCAAGACCAGCCTGGGCAACATAATGAGACCTTGTCTCAAAAAAGAAAACAAATTATATAATTTTTAAATATTATTATGATTATTCAATTATTATGAATGACTGATTAAATACAACCTGGAATATGTTGAAAAATAATAGTAATAAATGCAGTTCATTTTTTCCCAAAACAGAGTCCCTGGGAAAAAATATGATAAAACTGATCCTTGGAGAAAATGCTCATTACTATAATACCTCATGAAATGACATCACATTTCTGGAACAGCCTTGCACACTCATGACTCTGTTTCTGTGGATCAAGTTTCCCCTCTACCAGAAATGTCCTTTCACCATCAACCTTGGTGACTTTGTTCCTGATCAGCTCAAAGAGTACATTCTTCTCTATCCAAGACATAATCACTTCCTCTCAGCACAGCACTATAATCTGCACATACTTGTATTACATAACTTAAATAAAAAACTGAATAAACATCTGTCTCCCTTGTTTATTAAAAACTTAAAGTCAGAAACTGCACCTTTTCCTTTGTTACGGTCTCCTCCAAGTCCCTGTGTCAGTCCCAGTTAAAGGAAAAGTTGAGTAAGAGAATATAAGGAATGAACAATAAACAGAAATGTAACAGGGCAGGGAGTTCAGAATCCTTTTTTGCTAAATTCTTCTAAGTGCTAAAGCCCTGCCACATCAGACTGATAAAAGGAAAGTGAAGTGTTCTTATAATGCTTTCCTTCCAAGACAAGTGTGGAGTAGAATGCCCTTTCTACACATCCCTTCAACTTAGCGAATAACCTTTACTTTCATGCCGGCAATATTCCTAGACCTTTTCTAGGCTTTTTTCTTGTGATCTTGCAAAATGCTGTCAAATTCTACACTTTTGCATTTTTTACCCATAGTTTTTCTAAGTGCATCCTTTCCAGTTCTCTCATCTGCTTATTTTTATGCCATTTCTCATATTTCATGTATTATCCAATTTTTATCTACATTCAAAAATTATTGTTCTCACTTAAAAACCCTCAGAACATTAAAAGTGTAATTTTTCTCACATGCAGGATTTTTTCACTCATAACCATCCAATTTACTTATCCATACCACTCTTTAAAATTGCAATTAATTTGAGTGAAATGGCAAAGGGTGTTGCACATGCCAATGTCAAAATGCCAGAAATCCACTTTCAATTTCCATTCTATCTGAATGCCTCCAGAAAAGAGTTTTTATAATATTAATGATCTGATGTGCCAGACACTGTGCTAGATGCTATGGATATACACACAAAAAACAAGGAACATGGTTTAGTGGGAAACAGAGAGCTACTCAGTATTTATAATGCAGTGTGATAAGTGCTATAGCCACTTTCAAAATATGTAAGTGGGACCACATTATTCTAACTCATGAGATCCAATGTTGACACAGAGGGTAAGTGTCCACTTGTTTAACTTCCAAAGTCCATAAGCTCCGTAAATCCCCAAAAGTCAAACACACTAAATACTATTGCCTGGTCTTAGTTTATAAAGCAGTGTGTGAAATCACAATGGTTTGAAGTTTTGCTGAGATCTGGAACTGTAATTTATTTGGGAATTTGAACTAAGCATGACTTGGTGAAAGCGTCGGCCAGTGCCTTTGCCTTCCATTATTACCCATACTTCTTTTTTTTTGGTTTTCCTCATTTTCTTCACGCACAGGTAAAATCTTTTTTGCTAAAACAGTAATAACCAAATGTCGTATCTTCTTGTCTTATCAACTGCATTTAAGTTACATTAGTAACTGTATTTATTTATTTTTTAACAACCACCATCTAAAACAACTCTCTCAAAAGGGCATTTATTTGACCAAAACAACCTCAGAATCATAAATCCACTGATGTTTTACATAATTATAGTTTCCATTTTGGCAATGTATTTATTATCAACATTCACAGACAAGCTTCTGCATCCTGTTTTTATTCCAGACCCACTGGAACTAACTTATCCCACTATTCTATCTGACCTGTTCTTACCAAACACCACCTGGACCTCCTGCCCCTCACAAACCCTTTTTACAGCCCAAGGACACAATCCAAGCAAAACAGCCACTACATCTCCATTGCCTCAATGGGATAATATGGAAGGCAGAAGCCCTCCAAATTGGATGACCTCAGTTCATTAAAACTTTGCATTACCTATAAAAAGATATTCTTTGGCAACTTCCTCACAATTCTCCATTATAACAGAAATTAAAGCAGACCACCCTGTAATAATTGTTCCCACGTATAGCAAGTCAAAGTCCTTTCCTTATTCCAAGAGACAACATCTTCAAGGAGGTAAATGGTTCTTGAAGGTGCTCCACTTGGAAGATGAACACATGTTCATCTCTATAAATTTAAAATGGAAGTTTTCAAAGAGTACTGCTAGGTCTGATTTTCAAGGGTCCAAAATATCTCCAGACATCCCTTTTGTCTCACAGATAATTTCCAGAGTAAGACAGAGGGAGTTCTGGGAGAGCTACAGAACACTCCCCTCATTCCCTCCTCCATCACTACAACTCCATTTCCACTCCCCTGTTCTAAGATATTTGTAGCGACCTGTCAGATTCAAGAGTACAAGTACTACTTACTCCAGACATACTGGTCTTTAACTGCCCTAAAGTTCCTTGTTCTTGAGTGGATCACTTATTTTGTCTAGCTTTTCATTAGCTGACAATCAGTGGTAAACCTTAGGCGTAGAAACCTTTAGAGGCAACCATACAGATCCATCAGATCAGTCCCCCAAATCTGTCTTTCCTGGTGTCCCTCCCAGCAGGAATTTCTCCACCGTCACTATCTCTACCGTCTAACTTTGGCACTTGTTTTCAAAGTTCTTCCAATATGCTCACCATTCTCATGCCAAACCTACTCATCTCCAATCCTACAAAGCCCAGCAGAAGGCAACAGCTGGCAGTGTTTCTGTTGCCCTCCCTTTTGGAAGTTCTCCATCCGTCCAGGGATGCCTTATGCACCAGCAGAGCTTCTGGCTGACTACAAAGAACAGAGGTTGGAGCTTCATATGCTGAAGTGCCCTGGATGGAGAGTTCTTTCCTATTTTTTCTGGAGTCTTTTTTTCCCATCACTCTTTACCCTAAATAATAGGCAACAAAACCTCTGGCCTCAACACTTTCCCAGTTTCGCAGCCATCCCTCAGCTAATTGCCAACGAAAATTACAACCTCACTAATGCTAGTGAGAATTTAATGAACTAGGTAAATTAAATTTTACCTAGTTCAATTTACCTAGTTTACCTAGTTCAGGGCCCCTCCACCACTCATTTTATGACTCCAAATTATCCAAACTGATGTGGAAGGCATGAGTGAAGTTGTTAGTTCCTTGACTATTTTCAGCTCTGGAAAGAAAATCTGGAGAAACAGTCCACAGTTAAATTACATCCACTCAAAGTACAGTTATTAAAAGCAGCCTACATAGCAACATGGAAAATTTTGCCTTGGGAAAAAAAAAAGGCTAGAAAAACACTTTACAACTAAAATAGCTGATGCATCAGTTTAATGGGGTCCTTCTAGCAGTAATACCACCATCGAATACTATTTATACTTCGTGATGTCTTAGTTTTTTGTTTTTTGTTTTTTTTTTTTGCAGTAGTAGGAGAAAACAGCATCGGGCTAAATCTCTCAGGCCCACAAGACTCAATAAAACCTCTGTCAAATGAAATATAAATACATATTCACAAAATATTCCCTACCAGAAATTCTCAGTTTTGTACCCAAGTCATGGGTCCTGTGGGAAGGGGGGTGGTTCGCACACTTATCATTTAATTCCCACTATAACCCTGAGAGGAGGTATCATGGCCTTAATTTTGCATGTGAAGAAACAGCTATTCCAACATATTAAGTCACTATCCAAGGTTATACAGGGGTGTCACAGCAAAGAGTCACATCCGGCCTTTTGACTGGTTCACAGTTCTTCAGTGTTTTCTTAGTTCCTTAAACGCAAGCTAAGTGTCACCATTAACACTATTTCCAGAAACCAAATTTCTGTCATATCAAACTGATGGGATCACAGTCATCACCGGATATTCGAGACCTTCCCTGTTGTGGGCTACCCCAGATCCTAGCATTAATAATCACTCTGCTTTTCGAATGTGAAATGCACGTTATTAAAATATTTTCACGAAATCGTAAGATGCCCAAAGCTTTGCATAACAATGACTATCACAAAAAGGAGGAGGAAGAGGCTAGCTGTGCCCACGAGACCCAGGGAGGCAAACTCTTTCACAGGGCCACGTGGGAAACGTGAGTATCTTAAAGGTCGCAGCGCAGGCTGCGCTCAGTTTCGGGGTCACAGAGGCCCACGCTCCGTGGGCCGTGCGCTTCCCGTGGCCGCTCTTCGAAGCCCCTCCGCGCCCGCAGGCCTCACCTTGAGCGTCTCATAGGCGGTTGCCACTAGCAAGAAAGCCTCCTCCGCGCTCTGCGGCGTCCGCCCGAGGCCCTCGTCGCCGGGCTCGGGCCGGTAGCGGTCGGGGTGGTAGCGCCGGGCCAGCTGGCGGTAGGCCCGCGCGATCTCCGCCTTGCCCGCCGAGCGGCTCACGCCCAGCACCTCGTAGCAGTCCAGAGTGCCGCAGTAGAGCCCCTCCACCAGGGCCCCCGCGGGCCGCACCAGCAGCATCGCCAGCAGCAGGGGCGCCAGCAGCACCCACCAGCGCTGGCCTGCAGCCCCGGCTCCCCGGCCCGGAGAGAGCGGCGGCGCCCCCATCCAGGCCTCGCGGGCAGCTCTGCCGCCCCAGCTACTCCACCACTTTGCCGCGCGCCCAGCTCGGGAGCCCAGCTCCACGTCAGCAGCGGGCGCCTCCGCGCAGGCGCACAGGGCGCGGCTACACCAACCACTTCCTTCGCAACCCGTTGCTAGGAAGAAGGACGCCTCAGTCGCCAGGCCGCTTCCGGTGTGTCACTGAAAGCCTTCCCAGTACCAGCAGCCGGAGGATCTGTTTTTGGTGGGACCTAGGATACTCAGGCGGGGTGTGCGGAGCGCTTGACCTTCCACAGTGTCCGGCACACGCAGGCTTTTCGACATCATCACCTGACCTGCTGCTATAGGTAACTTAACTGGCTCGCTCGCACGCCATTATCGCATCCCGTATCTTCTACAAGATTGCGCGTAGGCCTTTAAAGCCAGTCACCATCCCCGGACGCCTTTCTCTCACCAACCCTATGCTGCCTTTCCAAACGGAAGATGAACTTAGCAATGCTAGGCGCTGCCTGTATACTAGGGACCCTGAAAGTTCATGGCCATCTTAGTTAAGTTTTTCTCAGCCTCCACGCTATTGACATTTTAGACTAGGTAATTCCTTGCCTTGGAGGGGCTGCCCTTTACGTTGCAAGATGTTTAGCAGCATCCCTGGCCTCTCCGCACTAGATGCCAGTAGTGCCACCACCCCCAGTCATGACAATCAAAAATCTCTCCACACGAGTCTGTGCGTCCACCCTTGGTTTTTGCGTTCCCGGGACAACCTGCTGGGCTGTGTCTGTTTCTCACCTCAGCCTACCCCCAGGCAGCCGAGAGCTTGGGAAGCTGAGCTCGCTCTGTTTAGTGCAGTTCCACTGTCCCGGTGGCCTCCCAAGTCCTGAGGGAGGATGCTGCCTGTTGTTTACGCCGAGAGTGGCTTGCCCCACCGGTGGCCTCGCTGCGGAGCCCTCTGTGTCTGATTCTGATGGGGTTTTTTCCTTTTTTTTTTTTTTAAAGAAAAAAAAACTTCTACATTTCATTTTTGCATCTCTTCTCGAATATTAATTTCATTATGAAGACCAAAAAAACCCTCTAGATACTGCCAACTATCTGCCGGGGGTCGAGTTGCCAGAAAAAAAAAAATACAGGATGCTCAGTTAAATTTGTTATTTTTGATTTTGTTTTCTTTTGCGAGACAGTCTCGCTTCGTTGCCTACGCTGGAGTGCAGTGGCGCGATCATGGCTCACTGCAGCCTCTACTTTCCGGGCTCAAGTAATTCTCCCACGTCAGCCTCCCAAGTAGCTGGGACTACAGTCACTCACCACCACACACGGCTAATTTTTATTTTTTTAATAGAGACGAGAGTCTCGTTTTGTTGCCCAGGCTGGTCTCAAAATCCTGAGATCAAGTAATCCTTCCAAAGTGCTACGATTACAGGCGTGAGCCACCGTGCCTGGCCTATATTTGAATTTCAGATAATAATTTTTTAGTATAAGTATGTCCCAAATATTGCATGGGACTATATAGCAACATGAAAAACTTTGCCTCAAAAAATCTGTTTTTATCATTCACTTGGCAAATATTTATTGAATCTCTGCTCTAAGCCAGGCACTGTTACTTAGGCACTGGGGACACAGTGCTGAGCAAAGTAAACAAGTTGCTCAACTTCAGAGGGCATATATTCTGATGGAGGATGACAGTAACAAATAAGTAAACTTTAAGATATCAACTCTTTTAGTAACGTGAAATAGAATACTGATATATACCATTATATACTTATGCATATACATTATAACTTTGTATCTCTCTCACTGCATATGTATAATATATATCTCTTATTACATATATAATGTATATGCGTCTCACATAATATATATGTCTCTCTCATTACATATATATATGTGTCTGTTTTTCACCTCAGCCCACCAAATATTCCATGGGACTTTATAGCAACATGTACAGTTATATATGTAATGAGAGAGATACATATTATATATATGTAATGAGATACCAAAATTATATATATAATAAGAGATAACATAATTTTTGTATCATTATATATGCTTATTTACATTTGTAGCTCTCTGATTATAAATATGCTTATATATACAATGAGAGAGATAAAATTAATGGAAACACATGAAATCTCCTACTCCGAAATTATTAGGGTCGGGGTCAATTATGAGCATCAGTTCCAGTAGGAGGTGACAGCTAAACTGACTTTGGAGGACGAATAGAGAATGGCTTGAAGGAAGTGAGTTAGAGAAGAGTGGGGATAAGGGAGTGTGAAATAAGTACCAAGAAGAAAAACGAGCCATGGGCAAGAAAAAATAAATAAAGCTTTTCAAAAATGAGAGACAGCCTGTATGACTAGGAGAAGAGGTGAGGAGTGCAGGAGATGAAACCGGAGAAAGCCAAGTTACGAAGGGTCATTTTATCCCATGAGGAAGAAGTTGTTCCTTAAGAGCAATGGAAAGCCAATATGAGGTCTTTGAGCAAAAAGTGACACCTTCGGATTCACATTTCAGAACCATTACTCTGCCTGGTAAAATGAGTTGGGATGTATCAGTAAGACCATTAGGAGGCCGGGCGCGGTGGCTCACGCCTATAATCCTAGCACTTTGGGAGGCCGAGGCGGGTGGATCACGAGGTCAAGAGATCGAGACCATCCTGGTCAACAAGGTGAAACCTCGTCTCTACTAAAAATACAAAAATTAGCTGGGCATGATGGTGCGTGCCTGTAGTCCCAGCTACTCAGGAGGCTGAGGCAGGAGAATTGCTTGAACCCAGGAGGCGGAAGTTGCGGTGAGCCGAGATCGTGCCATTGCACTCCAGTCTGGGCAACAACAGCAAAACTCCGTCTCAAAAAAAAAAAGACCATTAGGAGACAGTTATAAGAGTCCAAGTAGCCTGTAATCCTAGCACTTTGGGAGGCCAAGCCGGGTGGATCACCTGAGGTCAGGAGTTCAAGACTAGCCTGGCCAACATGACGAAACCCTGTCTCTACTAAAAATACAAAAATTAGCCAGGCATGGTGGCAGGTGCCTGTAGTCTGAGTTACTTAGGAGGCTGAGGCAGGGAGCATCGCTTGAACCCGGGAGGTGGAGTTGCAGTGAGCCAAGATTGCTCCACTGTACTCCAGCCTGGGTGACAAAAGTGAGACCCCCTCCCCCCCAAAAAAAGGGGGATCAGGCGCGGTGGCTCACACCTGTAATCCCAGCACTTTGAGAGGCAGGCAGATCACTTGAGGTCAGAGCTCAAGACCAGCCTTGCCAACATGGTGAAACCCCATTTCCACTAAAAAATACAAAAATTAGCCAGGTATGGTGCTGGGCTCCTGTAATCCCAGCTACTCGGGAGGCTGAGGTGGGAGAATCGCTTGAATCCGAGAGGCAGAGGTTGCAGTGAGCCAAGTTTGCACCACGGCACTCTAGCCTGGGCAGCAGAGCAAGACTGTCTCAAACAACAACAATGAGTTCTATTGCAGCCATAGGAAAGAAAAACAAAATCTGTTCAGAGGGTAGATCTCATGTTAAGTGTTCTGACCACAATAAAATAAAATTAAGAAGATCGAATGAGGCTAGCTGAAGGCTCACTTCAAAGCAGAGAGAACTTTGGTCCCCAGATATGCCAGTTATTAATTTATTGCCTCTGAACTTTAAACCTTCCTTGCCCCAGGGAATGATGCAAAGTCCATTTCTCCATTGCCAGCTGGCTGGATGTTAAACTCTGCCAGTAGAGGGTACTTGAAGGACACTACAAATCTGGAAAAGGAAAGGCACATTTTCTTCTCAAAGCAAACAGATCAATGTGCAGGTTTCCCTGTTCAGCACCAGTTTCTTTGCTGCCATGCTGGGGATGGCTGTTGTTATGGGTTGAATTATGTCTCCCCAGAAATGTATGTTCAAGTCCTAAATCCTGGTGCCTGCGAATATGACCTTATTTGAAAATAGGGTCTTTCCAAATGTAATGAGTGAAGTCACTCTGGATTAGAGTGGACCCTAATCCAATGACCTAAGTCTCTCTCTTTTTTTTTTTTGAGACCAAGTCTTGCTCTGTCACCCAGGCTGGAGTGCAGTGGCACAATCTCTGCTCACTGCAACCTCCGCCTCCTGGGTTCAAGCAATCCTGCCTCAGCCTCCTGACTAGCTTGGATTACAGGCATGTGCCTCCACCATGCCGGCTATTTTTGTATTTTTAGTGGAGACAGGGTTTTACCACGTTGGCCAGGCTGGTCTCAAGCTCCTGACTTCAGGTGATTCACCTACCTTGGCCTCCCAAAGTACTGGGATTATATGCGTGTAATCCCACTAGCCGCCTCCCCTGGCCTCGTGTCATTATAAGAAGAGACAGCAGAGGCACACAGAGAAGATGACCACAGAAGACAAAGGCAGAGGCTGGGGTTATGTTACCACAAACCAGGGAATGCCAAGGATCGCTGGCAACCACCAGGAGCCTGGGGAGAGCATGGAACCCCTCCTCCCTTAGAGGCCCCAGAAGGATCCAGCCCTGCTAATACTTTGATTTCAGACTTCCCACCCCCAGAACTGTGAGAGAATGAATTTCTAGCTGCTCTGGGCCACCCATTGTGGGGTACTTTGTTACAACAGCCCTAGGACATTAATGCAGCTTGAGCCAGTGTCTTTGTCACCAGATTGGTGGCAGCTGTTAGCTCTCAACAGAGGCCAGTTTCTTCCCCACAAAAGCAGGCAGCATGCTCCTGGGGCAACCACACTCTCCCCTCAGAGCAAAAGGAGTAGTAAATGCATGCTTAATTGGTACTGGATATCCTTTAAAATGTACACGTTAAAATGGTTAAAACAGTATATTCTATGTTATGTGTATTTTATCACAATTTTTAAAAATCTCAAATCAGGGAAGAGCCTTCTCTGAGTTTCTAAGTTCCTTGTTTGTTTACTTTTCCCTCCATCCTCGGAGTAATTAGCTGAGACGGAGTTTTGCTCTTGACGCCCAGGCTGGAATGCAATGGCCCAGTCTCAGCTCACTGCAACCTCTGCCTCCTGGTTCAAGCAATTCTCCTGCCTCAGCCTGCCAGGTAGCTGAGATTACAGGCGCCTGCCACCATGCCTGGCTAATTTTTATGTTTTTAGTAGAGGCAGGGTTTCACCATGTTGGCCAGGCTGATCTCGAGCTCCTGACCTCAGGTGATCCACCCGTCTCAGCCTCCCAAAGTGCTGGGATTACAGGCATGAGCCATTGGCCTGGCCTCATTATTTATTTTTTTAAAATTATTTATTGTGAATTAATATGACATCACATTTACCATTTTAACTATTTTAAGGCATACAAATCAGTAGCATTAAGTACATTCACAGTGTTGTACAACCATCACCACTGTCTAGTTTCAGA